TGGTGGAGGGTCTAGAGATCAGATTTTACAGGGAGGAGCTGAGTGACCCGGGGTTGTTTAGCCTGGAGAAAAAGAGGCTCAAGGGAGACCTTATTGCTCTCTACAACTACCTGAAAGGAGGTTGTAGCAAGGTGGGTGTTGGTCTCTTTTCCCAAGTAACAAGCGACAAGACAAAAGAAAATGGCCTTAAGTGGCACCTGGGGAGGTTTAGATTGGGTATTAGGAAAAATTTCTTCACCAAAAAAGGTTGTCAGGCATTGGAACAGGCTGCCCAGGGAAGTGGTAGAGTCACCATCCCTGGAGATATTTAAAAGACATGCAGATGTGGCACTCAGGGACATGGTTTAGTGGTGGACTTGGCAGTGTTAAGGTTGCAGTTGGACTCGATCCTAAAGGTCTTTTCCAACCTAAATGATTCTATGATTCTATGTCAAAAATTCATCCGATCAAAAATTAGGATTTATTTCCTTACAAAGTCAATGAGCTTGACTTCTTTCACTAGGCCCCTAGCTGTGTTTATATTACAACCTAACTCTACACTCTGGCTTAAATGGCTTTCCTGGCAAAGAAGGTTTTACATTTGATGACAGATTTATTCTAAAAGCAAATCTTTTCTCTATCTCTCCAGAGATATACTTCAGTAACAGTCTGGATGGCAACCAACATCTGTATAGTACTACCACTGAGTATTAATACACTAAATTCTCCCTACTATATTATTAGGTGATATTTAGACCTTGACCTCTATAAAATTGTTTAAAAAGGAACTATCTATGTCTCTCAAAATAAACATTTATGGGCATACACTGCCACCTAGTGATTTTGATCATCTACAGAAGGAAGGGGGGAAAAAAAAAAAAAAAAAAAAAAAAAAACACACCACCACACAAACCACACCAAACAGCCTCCCTCTTCCAGGAGAGGAGAAAAAAATAAATTATTCCTTCATATTTTACATCAACATATAGAAACAACCTCATATTATAATCACTTGTATCTCCTATTATTATGTTGATGGTAAATGCAGGAGGGGAATGGGAAAAGAAGAGTCAGTAAGTGTATGTAATCTTCTTTGTAGAGGTAAGATCCATGAGGTTGCTTGCTCATCAATTCTGCCTGGAATTCCTCCTTATTTTACACAGACTCTAGCCTTTGCTTAAAATAAGCACTGCATGCAGAACTTACTTAATTTCTAAAACAACACTGATAGATAGCCACACCCCTCTCAAAATTTTGGATTCTTTCAATTTTTGTGCTTTCAGTTTTTCCTGGTTCTCCTCAGCATTGTAACTATATTTTCAGTACCTCCTCTAGCTCATCTTTGCCACATCCTCTTCAACCACTGCCTGTTTTCTGCAGGATTTCACTTTTAGTGAAGAAAGAAGTCAAGTTACCTGTGTCATCTTGCTGTCTTACAAAGCTGATTTACCATTATGTGAATGGCTACTAAATTCACCTCATTTTCAGACTTCTCTTTCTGTCCAAACTAGTATTTCAGATACCGCCTTTATTTACAGGCATCTCGTGAGCAACATAAAGAACTCTTATTTGTTTTTCCTGCCATGCCTTCTCCATCCCCTTCTCTCTCAATCATTATCAACATCTTCAGTTCACTTCTCACCTACACCTAAATCTCAGAATCTGCAAAACAAACAGATTTTAGGAAGTTCTTTCTATAATGAATCTGTAAGACAAACTTTTTTTTTTAAGTAGGAAAACAGCAAAAAGCTTTTCAAATTTCTCCTTCTCTTCTAGCTAACACACTTTTCCTCAAGCAAACACAATCTTTGCAATGCTCTGAATGCATGTGAAGAGAGTTTCCTACCTTGTTAATTTGATCTCACCAGCACTTTATGTACCCACCCATTTTATTTTACAATCACACGAAAGAAGAGCACTATTTAGATTTTCCTTACCAAATCTATCCTCTTACTCACCATAAAGAGGTCAATACCCTTGTTGATCAAATGGCAATATTAGCTTCCATTAGCCCTTGTTCAATGTTCATATAAGCACTTCCACAATTTCTCATGTTACTTCTCATGCCTTAAAGGAGTTCTTCTCATGTACTCCCCCAAAGTCATATAACATCTTCCTCAAGAACATATTTAAAAAACACTTTGTTGTTATAAATCTGATTCTAGCTAGGCTGCTGTAACTGTTGCTTATCATACAGACTAACACAGTGTAAATAGTTCTTTGCACTCCCTCAACAGTACCCATCCCAACAGTACCCCATGCACTCTGGGACCATCACAGAGTCTTTGAACAGAACTTGCACTTTTGAATACTCCATCAATAAAATGCTACTACACAAATTAAATAATGTCTTTCCTTTGTTCCAATATTATATGACTTTCTCACACCAAAAAAAAAAAAAAAAAAAAAAAAAAAAAGACCCTCAAAGCAATACCCTAACAGTACAAAATTTGTTCATTTTGCCTTTTAAACTGGAGATGTTCACTAAAAACCACAAAGGTTGCTTATGGGGCCATCTGCTTCTGTAGCTTATTTCCCAAATGAAGTCTTCTGTTGCCCATGTTTCCAGCAGCTGACTGCTGCCTCAGAGTCTTTGTTTTCACATGAAGTCTAGTGAAGAGAGTTAACATATCACACCAGAGTTACAAAACTCTAACCCAACCTCAACATGCAGCACTAAAGATTGCTGCTAGTAAAAGTCCTATCCAAACTATTTGAACGTTAACATATAAACCAGAGTAGGAAAACACCTACGTAATAACTGAGGCAGAGAAACAAGACAACAAAATATGGTTATGTTTCTAAAACTTCTCAAAAGTACATTCTTCCTCCTCTCCCTTTTTTTGTTCACTCCAAAAAATTGGAACTTGGTGGTCTCCAATATGGCAATAACTCATCTCCTCCAGATGAGAAAAAATAAATACATTTAATCACTGGCTGCAAGTGGTCCCAGACATCTTTGTGCCATGAAGAAAGTAAGCTGCTGAAACTTAACATTTTATAACCTCTCCGTCTGTTTAATAACCCAGTGGGGGAGACAGCAACTGCCAAATTAAAAGCTATCAGCTTACTGTATCCACAAGCAGTTTCCAAGAACTGTAAACTGTTATGTATTATCTCGCCTGCTATACACAAATCACTGATTCTTTTTTTAGCATTGCAGTAATAGTATTTCTCATAGTAAAACGGGTACTTAATGAAAGCCCACTAAATGGTAAACTTTAGAAGAAACTTAATTGGAAGGACAGTGAAGGACTTTGAAAAGTCCTCTAGATTTTCCAACCAGGTATCACAGAATTTAACAGGTTTCAACAAAATTAAAGAGTTCCTGCAAGTAACTATTTTTCCTCTTCCACTGAACTCACCTCAACTGTCTGAGGTATGAGACAAATTAAGTACCATCTTATTTTTCATATACCTCTGTAAGCCTATTTTTCCTATCTAGTGATGTGTTGGGTTTGTGTGTGTGCAGAGGGGTTTTGGTAGCGGAGGAGGTGAGTACAGCAGTGGCACCAAGTCGGACCAACCTCTGGTCAAGGCTGAGCCAATTAGCAGCATTGGCTGCACCTCTGTGATAACGTATTTAAAGAGGGAAACCTGAGAGGTGGAGTGGGAGTGGTAAGGAAGAGTTGTAAGGGAGACACCTATGCCAACACTGAGGCCAGTGGAAGAAAAGAAGAGGTAGGAGGCGGGGAAGTGCACCAGAGCAAAGGCTCCCCTGCAGCCCATGGTGAGAGGGCAGGCTGTGCCCCTGCAGCCCATGGAGGTTCACAGTGGAGCAGAAGCCCACCTGCAGCCCATGGAGGGCCCCACGCCACAGCAAGTGGCTGCAACCAAAGAAGGCCAGAACTCTGAGGGAAGCCGGCGCTGTTGTAGTTCGGTTCTGGGAGGACTCCAACACATGGGAGGGACCCACGCTGGAGCAGTTCGGGAAGAGCTGCAGCCCATGGGAAGGACACGTGTCAGAGAAAGTTCGTGGAGGACTGTCTCCCGTGAGAGGGGCCCCACATTGGAGCAGGGGATGACTGTGAGGAGTCCTGCCCCTGAAGAAGAAGGAGCAGCAGAGACAACAACTGATGAACTGACCGCAACCCCTATTCCCTGCCCCTCTGCACTGCTGGGGGGAGGACATATAGAAAATTAGGAGTGAGGTTGAGCCTGGAAGAAGGGAGGGGTGAGAGGAACGTGACTTTAAGATGTGGTTGTATTTCTCACTGTACTACTCCGGTAAATTAAGTGGTGGTGGTGTTCAAATTAAATTGATGGGTTTTTTCCTCCCAAATGAGTCTGTCTTTCGACTGTGATTGTAATGGGTGATTCATCCCTCCCTGTCCTTGTCTCAGTTCCCATTTGTTTTACTTTCTCCTCCCCATCCCTGAGGGGGAAGAAATGAGTGAGCAGTTGCTTGGTGCTCAATTGCCCTCTGGGCTTAAACCCAGACAAGTGATAAAAGCTACTTCTAAGATTTTTTGAGACAAAGGTTGTACCATTTCTCTGAATGCCTTCATAAAATTCTCCCAAACAAGTAAACCAATCACATTCTAGATGAAGCACAAGCATACCTATAACACATCATTTCTATATTGGCTTTCCAGGCCATGCTAGAAAACACTATAATTTAGACAAGAGTTTAAATACATTTTACGGTTCTTGACAGCTAGGACCAAAAAGCATCACCATGTATTGTTGTTAAGAGGCTTTAATATGATTACAGTAATTAAATGGGGCCACAATGATGAATATCTGGTCCAATTGCAGTTTTAAAAAATTAAGTCTATTAATAAAGTTAGCTGAAGAAATAGAAGACTCCTGAAATTATGTCAGCAAGTTTCAAAAGCTTTGAAAGCTTACATAAATGGTAACACCTTCAAAACTTTATATTTCCAAGGACAGAAAGAAAAACAGAAGTCCACGAGGCTTCTCTCCCAAATGTTCTTCTCCTCTCCCGCAGACCATAGAGGGGTACAAAAGAACAGAGATGCTAACAGGAAAATAATGTCAAGATTTAAAAGTTAACTTACCATATTTGTCTCGCAAGCCAACTGTACACCTGAAGACTCCACCAAAGGCCACATCTTCACCAAATATTACTGAAAAAGAGGAACAGTAGAAGAGGCTAATGTTACTCCAATGCATCTCATTTTTAATGAGCGTGTTTCAAATGTTTTTAAATGAGGCACTAACATAAGTAGCACCTAACATTTCATTTTGCTTCAAGATTTATCTAGACCTAGTCATTTCTCATGCACAGCCTAGATATAACAAATAACCAAGATTAATGAGGAATCAGTACAGCAACCCAACTATGTCTCAAAACAGAATTCATGAAGCTGATTCAGCTTTGCTTTCATTAAGCCATCTATTTATTTTTCTGCAATATTCTATAATATCAGAATATCTAAATTTAAATTAATAAAAGCAATTCCAAGAAACAATTACATTCAGTCACTAAAAAAATCATTGAAGTGATGTGCTCTGCTTCAAATGGTAACCATCTGCATTCCTCATCCACAGATTTTAGTAAACGTAGTGTTTTGAAAAATGTCAAATTGAACTTTTCTTTGAAATACTGATCCAACATGAAACTTCAAACTTTCTCCAGACATCCTTGCCAGATCCCTGAAGAGTAACTTCAGAGGAACTCCTCTACAGAAAAGATGGATATCTAGTAACCAGAATAACTCTCAGTATTCAACACTATTATCCTTATAGTGTGGATGATGTAACCAATAAAGTTTTATCACTAAAAGTAATTGCCTTTAAAATTTATCTTCATATCAACTAATCTCAGGGGGGGTGGGGAGTGTTTCTTTGAATTTATGGAATGATGATGTCTAATTTTTCTTAAAACAGCTTTGTTATTTAATTCACAGAAATAAGTATTGCCCATCTCATTTTTTTTTAAACTTGTAAGAGATGTACAGCAGTATCACCAATAGTTGCTGGCATGAACTGGGGTCAGTTCTGATAATTCCCAAATTCCTCAATACTCTCCATATTCCAAAGGGCACAAACTAATAAGTTAGCCTCTTTGCTCTTCAAATATTATTTTTATTTAAATAAAATACATTTCTGATTGAAAGCACTAAAAGGGATTATTCTGACAATCATATTAATGATACCACTTGTATATAACTTGTATATATATAAAATAACTTGTATAATCATGTAAAAATCAATGCAGTCATGGAGTATATGACCGAAGTATGTCCCCAGCCCATCTTTCTAATTCTAATTTAATATAAATTTGTTTTCTTTTTTATGTACTTAAAACTTTGTAAGGGCTTTCCATTACCATATGGCTACTCACTTTTGAGCCAGCTGGCATAAAAAAAAAAATCCCATTTAATGCTGGTATCAGCAAACTCACGTGGATTTACTCATTCTGTTTAGCCACTGAAAATATTTTCCTGGACAGATTCTAATTCTCATCATCATAAGTATGAAGATTTCCACTACATAAACAACAGTTGCTCAGTTCCCACACAACTAAAAACATATGAAGGATGTGCTTTCTATAGCAAGAAGTACTAATTAATTCAGTAAGTAGGGTGAACTGACAACTCACATGTCTGGACTGTAGAACTCCAACATGGACTTGCAAAGGGCTTTGCAAAGATCCAGCCCTGCAAAGCTGGGGAGCATGACTGGAGCCTTAGAGTGACTAAAAGACTGAGGATTATATATGAGTTTAGGTTCCTGCTGGACTAATATTCGACTTACTTTTATATGGCTGATTCTATAGAAATGGTACTAAAATGTGTTATTGGCACTAATTCACCCTCAGTTGTCTAAGTTTCATTTAATGCGGTGATTATAACACAGCTGTAGATTGAGAGGGAATGTAAACCGGCGTAATACTGGACAGACAACATGGAATTTGTCCTAACAGATTAGACAATTAGTCAGACTTCAAGTTGAGCAGTGGTTCAAGTAGTGCCAAAAAGAGTTACACTAAAAAGAAAACCCAAAATTATACAAGATCATACAGCTTTTGCAGCCATATTCATGGCATTAAATATGTTGTCTTCATCTGGCCATCATCACATCTTTGTTATGACAACAATAGCAACAGACTCCTGTTATGTATGAGAATTAAAAGTGTAGTAAATAATTTTGTGCAAAAAAGTTTAGGATAATCTTTTTAAATCAAGCTATGATGAACTAGCTTCTTCAAAGTTATAAGTTATCCAGGTTGCAAAAGCCTAGAAAATCTTAGATTGCCTATGCTCAACGATGAACAGAAATCAGTAAAGCTGGAAAGATTTTGGAGGGCAGGGAAGAAGAGAAGGGAGAATGGTCAGAGCAAGGAATATACAGTCTCTAAAAAAACCCACCTTTTTAGCAGAGAGAGTTGAAGGAATTACAAATCAAGATTTACATTTTAAAAACTCTCTTACTTACTCATGGGACTCAAACTGCCCTTAAGTACAGTTCACATCAGTAATACCACAAGCATGTTAAGCAATGTATCTTTCTGTCCCAGCCTTCAAGCTAAATACACACAGCTAATATAGAAGACACAACTGCATCTTAGATTACATAATTCAATAATAATCTAATACAACACATGTTTAAGGTTTGAGATCAAAGTGTAGAAATAACTTATTAGAAAACTTTAAAAGCTACAAGAAACACATTTAATATTGTACACAAATAGGTAAAACAAAATGCAATTTATACAAAGCAAAACACAGTAAGAGGTATAATATACCTGCCGTCGGATCTTTGGCTAAAGCATTGTCCAAGGCACTTGTTATGGATTGGAAGAGGTTCATCTTCTGAGTTTGCCCTGTGTGAGAGTGATTATTTAGACATTTAGTTTGGCTCAAAACACAAAGTACATTAGAAAACACTGCTGCAAAATGTGACTAAAAACTTAGTTAACTGTCATAAACAAGATCCTTGTTAGGAGTACCCAAGACTCATTTGCTGAGTAAACCTACATTATGGGGTAGATGGGATTAAGAACAGTATACTTTGCAATTCCAAGAACTATTAATTCTACAACCCTTGTATTCAACCTTCTTTCAAAAATTATGCTCTTAGCTAGAGCAAATGCAGCTTTGCAATGTCTAGTCAAACACTAGGAACAATGACTAATACAACAGTTTTTCAAAGGAAGAAATCATAGTTAAAGCATTATTGTTTTGAGGATTGGGATGCTTTCTGCTAAGATTCACCGGATCTCATTAAAGAATGACAAAGTAAGCTTAATAGTTTTTTTTTTAAGAGCTCCAGCATTCCCTGTTTAGATACCTATTATTATCAGAAGTATTCTAGACCACCAGCCTGCTCTCTGGACGGCAGTTGGAAAGTGTCAGAAGCACCAAATCCACACTCCAAAGAAAGAAGACTTTATGCTGAAGAGCTATACTTAAAAAGGGCAAAGCAAATGCACCAGACTGCTGTATTAAAAATCTTCTGCAGTGCCAATGAATGAAAAACCTTCAAACCGAATAAAGGCTACCCATGTGCCTTTCCTCATTCCAGCACTGAAAGTAAAAACAGTCCTGAAAGCAAAGATGGAATAAAACAGCAGCCCAGTCCCCACTACTGTGACCAACTCAGATTCTCCAAGAAAATTAAATAATGCCTTATCAGAAACTGAGTAATAAGAAATTGCCTGGTTGACATTTGGCAGCTCTTTAACCAGCAAAACCTCTATCTAAGTGATGACTAGGAGCCACAGCCCAGGAGAATACTTCCTACCAGCACACACAGCAGATTTAAAAAAAAAAATAAAAATAAAAAAAGAGATTGTTAGGTAAAGATCCCAGACAAACATGACAAGAGGTGTCAGAAATCAGAAAACTACATTCTGTTTCCAGTAGCTACTCTCAAAAAACATTCAGCCTCCCTTCTTCCAGAAAACCAACCCTAACGAAAGCTAACTCTACCATAGCTTTGATGAGTTAATTAACGTTAGCATTTTTTGTTAAAGACTCATGTCATGTCACACCAAAGCTGAGTAGCTGCGTTTCTACACGTTTCTGTGCTTGGCAGCTTTACCTGTTACACTTTGCATGGCCCTTTAAGAAGAAGAAACTATAAAGAAAAATATTTATGAAAACTCTTCAAATAATATGAAAGCTACAAATAACAAACATTTACAAGTTCAAGGGAAGGAAAGCTGGGGAACAGCAATTGTTTCTCTCTTTCCCAAGTCATCCACATTAGTATTTAGGTTATCTTTTCCATAAGACACAATCCTTCCAGTATTTTATATAAATAAATATAAATTATTTAAGCAACTGTCAGAAACTTCTCGCACACTGTTCTGACCTGCTGTTCTTGCTTATAATAAAGGCTTCTGTATCAGCCCTCATGGGAATGGAAAAATTGATTGTGCCCTTCAGATTTGAACTGTGAAGTTGGAAAAGCATTATCTTATCAGGATTAGTATTGGCATAACTTTACCTTCACTATATTTCAAGAACTTCAAAGTATATTTTAAATCAAAGGGAAGTAGTTTTCTAATGGCAAGAAAAACTGGCCTGTCCTACTGGAGTTTCTTCACTATCATCTCAAGCAGGGACCTGCAGCACACAGACTTTTACTCCACAACACCTTGGATGCCTGTACCTCCCAATGACTAACAGAAATGGCTGAGATTTTTCTCACTTTAGGACCAAGCTGGTACAACAGCTTGGAGGTATCCAACTAAGTAACAGCTTTCTAGAAGACAGTGCAGTTCACATAAGAGAAACAGCTCTTCTGCAGCTGGCAGGCTTCCTCCAGGGGAGCGCAGCACTAGTTGTTTACAGGGATGCATCTCAGAAATAAAGTTAAAACACCAACTTTCACCCTGAGCTGTTTGTGTCCAACTGGTATGTTTACTCCCAACCATGTGATCAAGGGGAATACCTCAAACCTTTCACCAGACAGCAGTCTTTATTAACCGCTGGTTTATTAACACATTCATGACTTAAGCATGCAAGAACAGGGATAGATGCAAGTCATTAAGCTTTACCGCTGCCACGAGAGCGGGGCAGGGCTCGCAGGCCAGAGCAGATAGATGATGGATTGGCCCAGTGCAACTCTTGCGCTGACTGCCCAAAACCACCCCACCAGCCCCTCCTCGAGCGGTACCGGTGAGGCGCCTGACGCGCCCCCGCCCGCGGCCCACGGGGGCCTCCTAACCCACGGGGGCCTCCTAACCCACGGGGGCCTCCTAACCCACGGCCCAAGCTTGTCGCTGAACGCAGCGAGGGAAACGCACCCAGCCGGAGGCCGCCGCCGCCCGAGGTCCGGACCCCCCCCCCCGGCGCTGGCAGCCGCTGCCCCGCCGGGGCCGGCCCCCGCTCCCGCGGCACAACCGCCGCCTCGGCGGGGCGGGACGGGACGGCCCGAGCGGGCGGAGGCGGGAAGCGCCCACTCGTTCTCCCTCCCTCCCCCTCCGCCCCACCCCGGCCGGGCGGGGGCCTCCCCCGAGAAGGCGGCGGCGGGGCGGAGCCGGCAGCAGGGCGAGGGCGAGGGCGAGCTCGGCCCCGCAGGCTGAACCCAGGCCCGGCCCCGCTCTCACCGTACGCGCTGGGCGCCGGGTCCGGCTGGAAAGCGAAGTGCGCCGCGGAGCGGCGTGGCGCGGCCGGCAACGGGGGCAGGCGGCTCCGGAGCCCGGCGCGGCGGCACCCTGCCGCGGCCGTCCCGGAGGCGAGCGCCCCGCGCAGCGCCAGCCGCGCCCCCCCCACCGCCGCCGCCGCCATCGCCGCCGCTGTCATGGGCCGCCGCGGCCGCCGCGCGTTCTAAAGAGGCGGGGTCCCGGGCGGGCTCCCTGACTGGCCAGCCGCGGGCGGCGGGCGGGCCAATCGGAAGCCGCTCTGCGGTGGGTGGAGGAGGGCGGGGGGGGGGGGGGGGGGGAAGGAAGGGGTTTGCGGTTTGCTGCGCATGCGCGGAGGGTAACGCCGCTAGGGAGCGGGAGCTGGTGGGGGGGGGAAGCACGCGCTGAGGGCGGGAGCGGCGCTTGCGCGGTACCGGTCAGGGCGAGCGGCTGTTCGTTCCCTCAGGGCGGGGGGGGGGGGGGGGGGGGGCGGTTTGCTGCTCTGCCTCTGGGCAGGGGGAGCGGGGGCTTTCCCCCCCCCCCCCCCCCATTCTCCGTGTCGCTGCTGGTAACGTCGTGGCGGCCACGGGTGGCATCGGGAAGTGCCGAACTGGGCCTCGCCTCTCCCTCGGAGCTGAAACAAAAGCCTTCACCTTTCTTCTTAAACGTTGGTCCTTCCGTCCCCTGGGGTTTTCATATTGCTATCCCAGCATCAAGAAACACTGAACAAACGTCTGAAATTCTCAAATTCTGATCCAGCAGGTGGCCCAGAAGAATAAAAACAAATAGTAGAATGACCTGCAGATACTGTTTCCTGTGTCTATCATCCCCTCTCAACTGCACATTCAACCTCTCTCAGTCTTACTTTTAATTATTATTCTTGTTCAAGGTCTTTTTTTCCAAGTACTCTAGCTCATATCTTCATTACTTTTTTTTTTTTTTTTTTTAGCAGCTGAAATTACAGTCTTTCATACATACACATTTTGCTTCTCAGGTTTTATAAAATATTCGTTCTACTGTTCTTACCAAAGTGACCACCTCACATTCCTTCTCCAGATGCGCCCATCACCCAGGTGAATTGCTCTACTTTTGCAACCTTTCTTCTTACATACGTCTGTGGTTGCCACCTTTCAGGTGCTGCCACATCAATCCTTGTACCAGCGCTCCGCATCTTGACCATGCATGTGCTTCATCATCAGCCCCTTTCGTGCAGTGTCCCAACACGTGACAAGTCCCTTTGAGTTTTTTTTTTTCCTTGTCTGTGTTAATATAGTCTGACCCTACTGGATAGCATTTTTACTCTGCTCCAAGAAATCCAACTCCAAAACCTTACCTCAGAGAAAAAGACTAGAAACTAGAATGATGTATATATGGCATCATCCCTTTCAAATTAAAGGGCTCATGTGCAACCCAGTCTGAATAGGGCCTAGTTTTAAACACTGGAAAATGAGATTTTTGTATCTAATATGAAGTATGTATTACTATTACGTTTAGATATTCTTTTCTATCTGAGTTCCAAGCTGTGGCTGAATATCCTTGTTAATGACCATGGGACCATTTCAGTGAAGACCATTATTTTGTTATGTATTGTGTGAAAAAATATTTTTTGTGTTGATTTTTAATTTCTTGATCATTGGGATTTATGCAAGATAAAAGGCTTAATCCCACTGCTAACGGGGGAGACCAGCTGCTTGCTCTTTAACATGCCCTTAATCCCTAGAGACTGCTGACAAACCACTCAACATCATGGGATCAAACAAGCTCTTCTAACATATCCCAGTATATCCCATGGAAGCAAAATACTGATGAGTATCTAAAGGGGGTGAGAATTTCAATAAACAATAGAAAATCAGTATCTCCGTGAAAGGGGAGTATAAATGTAAAATGTTGAGATTGCTTCCCATTCCACTGGAAGGCAAAACATAAATATTTGAAAAAGCTTAGTACATAGCAAACATTATAATCATCAAATGATATATAACCAATTATTTGTAGGGCTAATAGTAAAAGAGGTTACAAATATCCAAGTTCATTATTCAAGTAATGGTATTCCTTTCAGTAAGCAATGTGTCTGAGTAGGAGGAATTTAGCTATATTGCACGTTGTCGTGGCCAGAGCAGCAAAACTTACCAGTGGAGAAGAGATAGTATAGGAAGGTATTACTTCATTTGTAAATCTATTATTAATATGTAAGTTGTTGGACCTGTGAATTGCTAAACTCAAACTATAAACTATGAGATATATTTGGTTTAGGTACAGTTAGCATTTGTCATGCTGTATTGTTTGTAAAATAACCAAGGCAATAACCTTGGTCAGATATTCCAGGAGATGCTTCCGTTTTCAGCACAGGCAGATAAAGGATATTCCTTGCTGTCTTAGTTCAGCAACTGTTGTCTCTGACATCTGGTGATAAATGGAATTTGAGACAGGAAAAAAAGGTCATGTATCCCAATATCTTGCAGAGGAAGTTTGGCATTTATTGTGAAGGGGTAGAAAGAAGAAACACCTGCAGTAAGATCTGCTCACCTGTTACTCAGAGCAAGGGGAAAGAGAAAAAAGTGTCTGGAGATGAAGCCTGCCTCCTAAATTATTACTGCCTTTTGAGTACAAAAAGTGGTTTGTGCGCATGGCCTTGGGAATTTGCACTGGTACTAAAAAGGGAAATGGGCAGTCGGAGAGGTTTGGCTGACCAATATGTTAGTGGAGATGGGTCCTAGCATTCAAGTCTTTCCAGCTCTGATGAGGTAATAATTATATCCACATTGTTCCTGGTATATGTTACGATATTCCAGCAACTTCAATTACATTTTGAAGACAGCTTTCTGATTTGGAAGTTGTTCAGTCACTTAGGGCCACTTCTCTTAAGTCCATACACCAGACTTTAAAGAGCTGAAATCACCTACATTCCCCAGCTCTGTGTATTAGTCATTATGCACATCCTTAGTGTTGTCGACAACCATTAAAAAACTCTGACAGTTATTACTGTTATTTCTGAATACTCATGCAGAGCAATTAATGAGGATCTGATGATAGCTGCAGACCCAACTGACATAGACCAGATTATGCCCATGTTTATACTATCATTAATCAGATGTAATTTGTTTGAAGTCCATGCTGTTACCTCTGACTGACATGGATCTAATTGTGAGCAAATTGTGAGTATTGGACTCTGACACGAGCATATGGCTCAATGTCTACAATTCTACTCCAAAATCTCTGAAAATTTGGACATAGTTTGCAGCTGAACCTTTGACTCCTGATCTTGTCACATTTCCCAGTAGGTGTTGCTTTATTTAAATTACATCTCTGTAGATGGTGAGTCATCCAGGTGATTTCTGTTGCATTCCTTTGAATGTAGTTGCACTGTTATTTTCTTGTCAATTCTGTCATGCTATAGTGTTGCTGTATGTTTTCCTAACTGCTCTGTGGTTCACTGAAGGAATTTCGTAGCATGTTCTCCACCCCAACAGTCGATCAGCTGATTCACCCCCTCTTACAGGAGCTGCTAGCAAGCACTCTTGTCACACTAATACTATGTCTTGGCACTACAGCTGTTTTGTTGCTTCCTTTGCTATCTTCTGTCTTCCTCTTACCCTAATTATGATCTGCTTCATCCTCCCTTTTTCTGTAATTTATTGGTACTTTGGAGCTGTTTTCTCCCCTGTCCCTACTTCCTCATTCACACAAATGGGTTATTTTGCTGGTTAGAGACAGTTGTCTCTTTCTTGGGTATGTGTAACTGAAGAGCTGTTTTCTGGAGTGTACTGTGGAAAGAAGATGTAGCTTTTGACCTGACTGATTTATTATCAGTCCTGTACAAATTAGACGTGAACAGAAAGGGTAGTCTTACCACTAGGAACATGTAAGACAAACTGAACAAGAGCAGAGCAGCAGTGGTTTTGAGCAAAGGGACTTAGAAGTGAATGGTATCATTTAGGTAGCATAAATGCCAGGGACCATTTTGCAGTTTAGCAGAGAAATTATTACTTTAGACTGATAAAAAGCAGACCAGGAGCACTGCATATGGAGCCAACCAATTTGTAGTCTGGCAGAGAGCAGGAGAAAAAGGAAGAGAAGTTTTAATGGAGTACTTTTGTACTCATTTGCACATAGGGTCAGAAGTCATCCAGTTACTTCTGCCATTTCACCCACATCTGTGTTAAGACAGTGCTTCCCACATAGTCTAGAATAGTGACTGTGGCTTTCATCCCCAGTTGCTTTTTAAACACTTCACTGGAATGATCACGCTTGAGTTAAAGACAATCCTATTTCTAAATGATATGAATAATTCCTGACATTAAGTGAAGCAATGCTAGAAACAGCAGTGTCTGTCCACAGAGACATTACTCAGCTTTTTTTATAAGATATTGCAGTGTTTCATAATTACGGGAAGAGAATCCCACTCTCCTCTGTTTAATTCAATCAGTTTTAATTGCTTTGAAAGCACAGAGCGTATTTAACTCTTATTTTCTACTGTGACTCAATCTAGAAATACCTGTACAGGGAAATGATTTCTAATAGTTGACAGCTCATAATTCTAATGCAAAAAAAGTCATAATGAAATCTAGTTTGTACAAGGAATAAGGATCACATTTTTATCTTGAGGATAATTAAATGTAGAAACAATTTACCTGAGAACATGCTGGATTCTCGTCACTTCCATTTTTCAAATAATAACTAGATGTCTTTGTAGAAGATGTGATATAGCTCAAACAAAAGTTATGATCCCGATACCAAAACTACTGGGTGAGATCATACTGAAATAAACATATCAGTGCCTTCCAGTTCTAAAATATATGTTGTTGTTGTTAACTAATAAGGAAGAATTGCTATTTGTCTGATCAGGAAATTTTGCCAAAAAGTCTCAATCAGATTCAGAAAAAAGTGGAGAGAAGGATTCTTCATATATATATATATATATATATATACACACATATATATACACACACACACACAACTGACATTATAAGCAGTGTTCAAAAAGCAAATACAGGACAAAAGTCCTGTATTCAAGATTCTTGGAATAAAACATATCCATCCAGCAGATCATATGTAAAACATGCTGGAAAGACTCTGGTATTTTGATAATATACTAGAGTATGCTGGTCAGCTTTGATGCCTTCTTATAGTATAGTGATGTTCAGTGAAAGTTAAAAAACGGAGAA